AACTCGACTGGAACGTGACGGCGTCATAGATGAAGATGGCTGGTAGCGCCGGCAACGCGGCGCGGGCCAGCTTCAACTCCTCACCGACGAGGAAGTCGGGAGCAATCTCCGGCCAGTGCTCCATGAACGTAAACGATGTCGTCGAAAGCTGTAGGAGCGCAGCTAGAGGCGCATCGAGTGACGGCATGGCCCGTAAGAAGGCGACGACGTCATGATGCGACTCCAAGCACTGGACGACGCAGAGGCGGACGTGGTCCAAGGCCAAGGCCGGCGATGGCACGAGGTGGAGGCGCTTCATCGTCACCTGAATTTGTTGGAATGGCGTGACGCTCTTTATATTTTGATGTAGCATTTTCGATTCCCATACTAAAACATAGGTAAAAGTAGAAATATATGTAAATATATAGACTTGATAATTTTCGAGTGGATCGCACTTGACCCACTCCCGCACCTGAGTCCGATAAAGATCGTCGTCGCGGCTGCGTCGGCGGCGTCATGCAGCAGCAGCCACACCGCTTCTATCGAGCGTTCTCGGTCCTTTTGATACTGACCTTGCATTACCCTTTGGCGTGGCTCATCGCTTCGTCTGCCAAGGTCGAGGCGGCCTTGGCAAATGCCTCGGTCAGCTCCGTCAAGTGCTCTTCCAGCTTATGAATATATATGAACGTGTTTCGCGTTATCTTCATAATTACACAAAGACTTCGCATACGTAAGCTTATGAATATGGACCACAAATGCTTTCTACGCCATATCACTTGATCTTTCGTTGTGAGAGGAGGCAGCGACCTTGCCCTATTTCCATGCGACCCTTTATGGCCTCAACGTGGCGGCGTAAAGCTGCACCTTTTTCTCGGGCCGCTGACGTACGTAGTCAGAGTTGTCGTTGACAAAGCTGTCGACAACATCACCATCGTCGTCGTCGTTCTTGGCCTTGCGGCCGACGGTCGCTGCGTGGTCGTCATTATTGGGTCGGCAAGCGCAGACGCATCCAGCGTCGCCCAGTCGGATGCCACCGCCGCGTTGAAGCCTAGCACTGCCGTGCTACAATGGCAGTGAGCGCTTGAGAGGATGGCGGCAGGCGGCGTGCGGAGCGACAAAGCCGTCTGCGTCTCGTCGCCATAGAGGCTGCGCTAGGGCGCCACGGGCGCGACCTTGCCCGAGCTTCCTGGCGGCTACGGCGAGCCAGCGGATGGCTGGCTACCTATGGGGCGGCTCCGCTGGTTGAGATATCGGCGACAAACATTGAGAAAGATGTTGATTCCGGATACAAGTTATCCGGTAATGCTGACGCAATGCGCGTCAAGGTGCGAGCACCTGGCGTTCGTCGCGTGTCGAGACTATGCTTTGCAAATACCGGTACACGCTGGTCATCGAGCCTCTTCGCGCTCCTGGAGACAATTTGCTGCAACTCCATGACCTTTCGCCTCTTTACCAAGCGTATGCGTGAGTGGATTTGCAGTAGAGGCGGCCTCGACGACGACGACGACGTCCTCTGCGGACGCGAGCCACGCCACGAGCCACGAGCTGTTGCTCATGGCGCAGGCAATCGACGCTGGTACGGTTGCGCGTAGACAGGCGCTGCCGCCGTCCGAGGCCCACCTGCGCCAGGTCACGGTGTAGCATGGTGCCGTTGATTGGCTTTGGCGTTGTCAACAACTCCATCTTGATCGTCGCCGACGACTACACTGACACAACGCTCGGCGTCTCGCTCGATCTCGACCATGGCCGCCGCCGGCATTCTGCCATCGGCAATGCTCCAACGCTAGATCGTCAACCACACGGGCATATGCGATCGGCGAAAGCGTCTCCGTGAAGCAGTCGTAGACGCGCCATCCAAGTGCATCGGCAGGATTCCGCGTCGAACATAAGATGCTAGCGGGTCACCTCGTGTCCCTGCGACTTAGGTTCCCTACCGCGCTACAGCTCTTTTTACACTTGATTTAGAGCGTGGAGCCACCTTGAAGTTGCTGCTTGACGAGATTGCTGTATTAACGTGGGAAAGGTGCAATGTAAGTGCTCCATTGTATATTAGCGTTGAGGACTATGGAGGTAGAATGAACTGTGGTCGTTACCCGAACGCGCGAAGTTGACGCCATGGTCTGCGAGGGCCGTGGCCTTGATGGCTTTGTACTGTTTTGTGCTCATCTCGAACACTAGTTGAGCGGTGGTGTTAACGTGGTG